CTGCCTGCTGCCTACCCACCAGCCAGCCAGCCAGCCAGACAGCCAGCCAGCCAGCCAGCTAGCTACCTGCCTGCCTGCCTGCCTGTCTGGCTGTCTGTCTGTCTGTCTGTCTGTCTGTCTGTCTGTGTATCTCTCTATTCATCCCTCCATCTATGTATCTCTCTATCTATTCATCTTTCAATCTATCAATCTATATGTCTACCTATCTATCTATCTATCTACCTATCTATCTATCTATCTATCTGTCTATCTGTCTACCTATCTATCTATCCATCCGTCCATCTATCTGTCTATCTGTCTATCCATTTATCTATCTATCGATCTGCCTATCGATCTATCTATCGATCTACCTAACGATCTATCGTTCTATCTGTCGTTTTATCTACCGGTCTAATACACCTGCAACTAAGGTTTGATTTGTTTTTGTGTTTGCGTGCTACTTTGTTTATGCAGTTCTTTATCATGAGTTCGCAACGTGTGTTGGACATGAGTCAGCTTCGGAAGCTTGAAAGTCTCAGTGCCTCCCAGCCAAGGACGTCGCGGAGTCTGACCACTGGGTGCTGCTCTCTGTGCTTCGGGCTCGGAAGTGCCACCAGTAATAGTTTGTTTGCCTCCCTGTGTCGTGTAGGAAAAATGATGCTTGCAAGTAGATGCTCCTGGTTTCTGACTGGGGATCTTATTACATAATTGAGGTTTGTTACAAGAAGGGCCTCCGAATTGGGATCTGACTTAGACACAGTGCAAGGGAAGCACCCAGGCATGAATGCAATGGGGATCCTTACGTTTCGACTTTATAGCAGAAATAGCACAAAACCAGTGGAGTGGAAGACCAGACAGCATGATAGTGCGACAAGGGAGGAATCATGGAATAGTCTGTGAGGTGCACTACAAGAAAAGTGGCGATGCATGGTAGAAGCAGGAGAGCACTCGCAAGATAGCCGCATCATAAGGAAGAGCAGCAGAGTGATAGAACAACACAGCAGCCGACAAGTCAGACATGCGTCAATAATTCGCAAAATCATAAGCCAAACTCCATGAACGCAGGCAAGGCCCCAACCCCGAAATCCCTGCAAGGCATGTGGTCGAGTTGAAAACAACTAACCCGAAGCACTGGCCCTTCAGGCCGCCGAAACCTGCGGCAAAAGGCGCTGTTCTCTCAAACCTGGGCAGAGAGGGTGCGGATGTTGGGGATGTAGGGTATTAGGGTATCATGATATGAGGCACTAAAGCTGGAGCAGTGGGAAACTAGGGTGTCAGCGCTGTCGGGCATGAGGATTTATGATCTGGGAAATTTGGGTATTGCTGTCCCTGTGACATTTGTTGGCTCAAGCGTGTTGTTGTTTCTGTTGTTTGGTTCTCGTGGAGTTTTAGAGAGGGACAAGGGCTGCAGGCCCATTTCGGAACGGAGACTGCTTTACAGTGCCCAGTGTTGACTGTACTCCTGACCTAGAGGCTAGGGCCCAAGGACCATCTTTGTCTGTAGGGGTTTTAAGGTTCCAAAACCCTAAAACCTGACCCGAAACCTGCATCTTCGGGCTCTATAGCCTGAGCTCGAAAGTGTAAGCCCCAACGCCCGGAGCCCCAAACCGCCCTGACCCTGTCCTGTCCGGCAAATCCTAAAACCCTCAAGCTCATACCGTTGAGATTTGCCTGGCTCTGCAGGGCGAGCCAAACCACCCGGAGCCAAAGGCAAGGGAAGAGATGGGCTTTCGGGATCGAGCCAGGGAGTCTGGGATTTATGATGTGTGATTTGGGGTTTGGAGAGTGCCAGTGCTTCGTCAACTTGCATGAGCTTTCTCTAGGTTTTCGAGGCTTCGTGGCCTTAGGACAGACAGCAGGCCGAGTTTCAGGAAAAACCCAAAGGATTGATTGGATTTAGGGTTTCCTGGCGTATAGATGTCGATAGAGCTATCTAGAGAGACTTGCAGCGTGCCCTGCCGTGGCAGATAGTTGGGGTTGGGGCCCTAAGGCTGCATCACTATCGGACTTAGAGTTTCGGGCTGTTTCAGATGTTCCTTCGGGTTAAGGATTCAGTGCTCCTACACCTTCACGACTGAAGCCCATCACAAAAACCGAATTCCGGGGGCTTCTTCGGAAGGCAAGGGGCCGCCACCGCCGCCGAAGCGTGGTGGTCCAAAGGCTTGGCTGGAGGTTTCGGGTTCTCGGGTTTTGGGATTCGGGCGCTTGAGAATTTGGACGAAGCCTACAGTGGGGTCCGAGGATTTACGGTTTAAAGAGTCTTCGGATTCGGTGTTTTCAGGTTTGCATAGTGCCAGTCTTGTTTGATGGGTTCTCACACATGTACATCTTATTCGGTCCTACGGTTTTACACGTACTGACATCGGATGGATGAAAGCGGTTACGGGTCATGGAGTCTTGTCTCGGTGTTGTGTTTTACATCATATCCGACGCGATGGGTGGTTTTGTGGGGTATAGGAGAAGTGGCATGGGCCATTCACCGTGTGAAAGAGGCTTTGAGAATCGAAACCTGGGTCTAGTTACTTACGGTTGTAGGGCTTTTGCTTTGTTTTTAGGGAGTCAGGACTTAAATTTCATCTTGGGAGGCGAAGAGCAAGCCTCCACCACCGCCTGCGCCCGGAAGCAAGGAGGATGCTTCCAGGCCGATATGCCGTTGGGGTTTTGTTCGCATAGTGGCGTAGCCACTTCCAAGGCCGATTTGTGGAAATCTCTCCGGCAGTCGTGACACCTCGCTCGATTTCTCAGCGTGGGACATTCCAGTCTCAGTTGACACGGCGTAAGTCATTGCTACTCTGCTTCACCCTGTCTGCTTCTCTTTGCGACATCCACCCAAAGTCCAAAGCTAACCACACACACAATCCTTGTTCTGGACCTCTACCCAACGAGCTGACAGCAAACCCGGAATCAGGCAGCCTGCTTCTCGAAGGCAGTCCATGGGGAAGGCCCGACGCGGAAAGGATTTCCTTGGCGCCGATTCGATGGCCCTTTCGAGCTGGTATGGGTTTCAGACGTGGGTTGGTTGGGAGTTGCTCCTAATCCTAACCAGGATTCCTTTGTTTAACGAAGCAAAACCATCAAGCTTCCCGGATGACACAGGCAAAGGCCCGAGAATGAAATTGACACAGGTACTCCTGAGCAGTTGTTGCCTCTGTGGACTCAGGGAGTCATCTATCACATCGAGGGCTTGTGTGCTCTTTGGCGATGTGTCAACAGGAGTTGGATCTTGAGTGAGGCTGGGGCTGAAGGCTGCTCACCATGTGACGACCGCTCCATCATATCCGAAGCCTAGGTGTCCTGTGTAAAGGACCTTCAACACGACACATTCCGAATGCTTGAACTCGGAACCAAGATGAACTAAACAAAGCAGAGACAACTTTGATATTCTTCGCGGCCCTTTGCACTGCCAGGCACCTCCGCCGCCACCTTTCGGCAAGCGGCTGCACTGGAAACTGCACCTCGACTTGTGTGGGTTAGTGTTAGGATTAACAGATTGGGAGTCCCTGTGGGCAATTCGGCGGCCCACCGGCTAAAGAATTTGCCTGTCTGGAGAACTGCTGGAAAGAGGACAAGCATGCCGGCAAACCCGCGATGCCACGGAGGCTTCCTCCGGCAACTTTGGACAACACCATCTTTGAGGAGAGAGAGAGACGGGTTCCAGAGGTTGACCGTAACTTTTTTCATCACCGTCGGCCCTGAACCTTGCAAGCAACAGAGCCTGAGCTTCGTTCCTGCAGCCCTCCACATTTCACCCTCAGGCTGAAGGAAGTCCCTCAGATTGCAAGTGAATTCGCAGCAAGAGATGCGTCCTTGAGAAATGTTAGGAGGGATAAGGTTTCGTCCAGGGAGGAAGAAGGGAGCGGAGGCACCCCAGTCATGCTTTATATTTATGCTTTCATGAAATGCCTAATACGATTGTAGTAGCAGTTGCCCGGAACGTTATCTGCCGATTGTGCCCCTCGCTTTATCCCTGATATCCCATACTGATTCACCTTGCACATACCAGCCCGCAGCTCGGGATTGCTGGGCAGGTCGTAGGCAGAGAAGTACCTGAACTCCAGCGCCTTTCGCGTTCATTCTTATGTGCTCTAAACTCGCCTCGCTGGAGGAGCTGCAGCCGTGGGACAAGGTCGTAGCACTCCCAGCTCAATGTTGAATGGGTTGGTAACAGCAGTGACTGTTGGACATGCTCCAGTGTTGCATATGCATATCCACAACCAGCAGCCGTTGATACCTTCAAGTTGCCTTCAAGGGGCAGCCTGGGTGCGAGCAATGCAGTCTTGGAAGGTTGTGCTCTTCCTGCTTTGCCAGGCCACTGGCCTGAAGTACAATGAAGCTCCTGAGTGCACCGGAGACGTCACGGGTGCAACCCCTGTGGCCTGTGACGAGCTGGGAACAGATGGGTGTGACGGCAAGTACACTTCGGTGGAGGGTGGTGTCTACTCCCAGTGTAAAGTGTCAGGTTTGAACTGCCTGGCCGTGGGCCCACTCTGCAAGAAGCCGGACACTTCTTCCATGACCTGCTCGAGCTTGTCAGATTGCGAGGGCAAGGGCTGGAAAAAGGCGTGGACGAGTGGGACTGCCACGACGTTTTCGGAAGACTTGGGCAAGTATGTGCTCTTGGGCTATGTCAAAGACAACGGGGAGATGTCCCATGCCTGGTTTTTCAAGACGCCGGACAGCTGGAAGTCGACCCATCCCTACAAGCTCCAGCACGAGGGCGAGATCATTGAAGCCATCCGCTCTACTGATGGAAAGACCTACGAGGGTGAGCTCGTTTCGGACAAGTCCAACTATGGCGGAGGCTGCGAGTGTGGGAAGGGCTCGGGCTCCTGGGGTCGTATCTGCCTCCGCAGCAAGACACCCCCATCCGGCGGCTGGAAGTGCACCGGCAAGGGAGGTGCCGTGCCAGAAGCCCCTCGTCAAAAGTCTTAGCACCAAACAGGCTTCCAGGTTTTAGTTGCTATGTTAGCTTTTCTGAAGGAGCTGTATCCATGTTTTGCTCTTGTGCCCCAGGAGATTGACTTCCCCTATGTCCGGGGATATGGCAACGGCAATGGCTGCGGCAGTTCCAGCTTGAGCTACTTCAATTGGAACTCTGGCACCAACTTCTGCAGCAAGGGCTTTAAGGTCTTGATCATGACGAAGTAGTGATCATGCCGTGGCAAAACATTGCACCTCAACGCTGGATTTTCAAGCCGCACTCCGTTTCATTGCCGGAGCTGCAGAAAAGCACCGTGCACTGCATGCCTTCGGTCCGAGAGATTCACAGAAACTCCATGTTGTACATGAAGCAGTCGGCTCATGATTAATCCAAGTGGTGTTCTCATGAGCCGCCCACGCAGGACCACACATGTCCAAACAACCCTGCTTTGCCACGGCCAAGATTTTCCGGAAAGTTCAATCTCTAAAGCCCGAGATTTTGCAGCAAGGCCCCGCCTCTGGACACGAAACAGCTCGAGCGGCTGTTTACTCCAGCAGAACGCAGCCTAGGCCAATGACGTGGGTTTTGGGCAGGGCGGCTCTGAGACAGGGGCTTGCTGGTTTCTGGGTTTTCTTGCCAACAGTTGTGCGAGCTGAGGGCATGTGCTTTTTTTGATCGTGGCTCTGGATTTGGATGGGCCTATTCTTAGCAAGTCACAGGTTCACTAGATGTCAGTATCCAATGTGCCGTACCATGGTTACCGGATACCAGCAGGCTGGGGCAGCTACCGAACCTCATTCAATATTTTCGATGAAGGAATTCTCGCAGGGCTAGTACGGGAGCCTTAAATGCATTCTAACATGATTATGAACGCTTGAGAATCTTCCTATGCAGTATGATTCCTACACATTGTACGTATATGGTTGTTGTATCGAAAACCCGAAAGGATCGAAGCATTCAGGCGCTGCGTGAGCTCCAGCCAGCAGACTGAAGCCTGAAGCATGCAAAGTACCCACCATACGCAGCGGAACGCATCGCAACCCCCAAACCCACCAGCCCCCTGAAGCGCCAAACTTCAAAATCCCGAGACCCATCTGCCCGGAATCGTCCACTGCTTGGGGCTGGTGAAAAGGTGTCCCGATCAGCTGCACTGCGGCCCCACCGGGGAAAGCTGCTTCAGGCAAATGGTACTCAAAAGCTTGGAACGGGCTGATCAGTTTCGGTTTCATCTGGGCTTAGAAAGCGCGCTTCGGGAGGCTACGGTTCTTTTGTTCGAGTGCAAGCAAATTGTGGTGTTAAACGCACATGTCATCGCAATAATGCTCCCCGAATGCATGATGCAAGCCAGGACCCTGGTAAGAAAAGCATTCCCCTTCATAGTCCATGGTTCAATTCTGGTGAGACCGCTGGCAAGTACCTTCTTTCACTTTCGCAAGATTGGTTGCCAATCGCTCAGGCTTCCAAGCTTCACCGGGACTTTACAAAAGAACTCTTGATGCTGAGTGCCGCAATTACCTGAAGACCGGTGGATTCTTCCCCTTGTGGGTTCCGCCGCTACCTAAGCCACTGTGGCAGGCAAGATGTGCCTCATCGATCCGAAGCGGGTCTCGCCAAGCTCGCTTGATGGGTGCATTCGTAGTTGTCTGCTGCCGCTTTTTAGGGCCTGGAGTGCACTGTGCCCGGTTCTCGCACTGAAACATCTTCGACATATAGCACCTGACAGTTTCATGTTCACGAACGGGAACAACCCAGACGGAAGTTGTGGGATTTCTGGTGCATTAGTAGTTGTACAATGAAAAGGCTCAGAACCTCGCAATCATCCTGCGGCAAGTGGTGCGGGCCTCTGCCGCTTGTGAGGTTCCAACCGAAGCGAGTTTCTGTTTCACCTCAACGTCAAACTGTAAGGGGTGCAGGATTCATGGCCTCGGTAGCGGTTTCGTCAACTTGAAACCTGTAACCCGACGACGAACTTCCATGACTATGGCGATTTTGTGACGGCGGTTGTAACAAAAGCCATCGGAATCAGACAAGCAACCCCAATGAGAACAACATAAGAGCTAGAGGACACGTAAGCGCAAGTCCGAGAGGGAGAAGGCCCCCCTGAACCCAGCAGTGCTGAGCCACTCAGGCTCTACCGACGGAGGAGTTGTGCGATGTGGTGCGCGGCCTAAGGCGCACCTTTGTTTTTCACCTGCTTCTGAGAACGTTTTTGAATGGATCCCTTTTGGGCCTTTGGGAGGGTTTCGCAGTTTGGCTTCATGTCGTGCTTTCTTATGTCTCAGAGTAAAGGGGCTGCTTTGACCCAGCTTTCCCGGACCCCTGTCAAGTCTCGGGGTTCGTCTCAGAAAGGCTTCGTGAAGGTGTTGATGGTCGTGCGCATTTGCCACAAGATTGCTCTTGCCAATCCCCCTTTTTGACCTTTAGCTGCAACCCTGTTCTGGGAAGCAGTTCAGGCATGTTGCCTCTGGCTTATGGTTTAGCTCGCAAGTACTACATGCAAGGCCCCAAAACCAAAGCTCCGCTGAGAAGCATCAGTCATGAGATTTCCCCCGACCGGAACCTGACGACCGAACCCCAAGGCCCGATCCTGTGATAAGCCTCAGCCCTCAGAGCCTCAGCCAACGGCCAGGCTCCAGCATCCCATCAGCACCGAGGCGCAGTGTGCCACAGTAGATTGGAGTACTGCACTCGTGCGTGCAATCATCATCATCCTCCTCCTCATCACCATCATCATCGTAATCGTCATCATCATCGTCATCATCATCGTCATCATCATCATCATCATCATCATCAACACGAACACCACAATCACCAGATCAGCACGAGTGCTGCATTTTATAGCATTCAGGCTTGCGCAAGGAACGATTAGCAGATGTGCTGTGCCAGCCAACCTCACTGCTTCTGTTGGGCAGCTTCATTGCTTCTCAGACCAGGCGACATGGTTTTGAGTTTTACCATCTGGTCTTATAGAGAAGCATATGTCCCGGATACATCGGGCTCCGAGCTTGGCTGCTTGGGCGATCCTCTCTTGGCAGCGGGGCCAATTTTGCTGAAGCTTTGCATTTCAAACCCGCGAGGCATTGGAGCATATCCATGAATTCCTCCTGCCGCCTCTTCTGGAGCTGGGCTCCTAGGGGCCGTGCAGGAGATCATGTCCTGTCAGGCACTTCATTCTGTAAGTCTCAAGCAGCATCAAGTTTCTGATGTCGTCCGTAACCCATCGTCTGCTAGAGGTCGGCAGAGATGTTCGCTTCCTACGACGGGCCTTTGCAGAGCCTGCGCGACGTGGAGTCGCGAACTTGGACCGTCGGAGCTTTATCAACAGGTGGGGAGAACAGTTCAGCAAGCGATTTACGATTTCATCATCGAGGTTCTGCAAGTCCGTGCCTACTGAACCCTGAGCTCCAAATCTCGAACGAGGCTTCGTCTCGCTGGAAGCTTTTGACCATACAAACCCTCTCCGAAGTCCGAATCCCAAAGCGGCAACTCCAAGGAATTTCCGAGCCAACAGATTGTGCACATAAGCAGCGACAGGGTGAAGCAACAGTGCAGGCCGCAAGCAAGTCCCAGTCTTGGTCTTTGTGGTCTCAAACACGGTGCAGACTCGGAGCGTTGTTTTAAAACAACCTTGATCAAGAAAGGTCGCACGCTCAACAGCACGAGCACTGCGAGCACCATGTTTCCCAGTACAAAGTACCGCATCTAAGCCGTAAGCCCTGTACCCTAAACCGTGTAGAGTGTATTTGGTATGTGTTAGGTTAGGTGTTTTAAAGATAGTAAGGCCGAAAGCAGTTAGCTACAGCCTCAGCCAAACTTGGCTTTCCCCAACTTAAGGGGCAGGTGGAAGAGAGGAGTCAAAACAACCGTGGCCGAACGACAGAAGTCATCATGATCGTGATCTTCGTCATCATCAGCACCTTCCCCGCAATACTCGCCGTCATCCTCGTCCTCGTCCTCGTCCTCGTCCTCGTCCTCGTCCTCGCCCTCGCCCTCGTCCTCGTCCTCGTCCTCGTCCTCCTCCTCCTCCTCATCATCATCATCGTCATCATCCTCATTCTCCTCCTCATCATCATGAGGTTCACACCGACCGTCATCTGCACCACCATCACAGGCAGCAAAATTAGCTGTAGTCAAGGGCACTCGAAACGACACTAAAAGCATAGAGCTCGAGTCGGGGTCCGATCAAGAATCCTGCCAAGGCGGCAGCTGCTCCCCTTGGCACGCATCCCGCGGCTGAAGGCTGCGTCCCGAGATGTGGGAGCAGCTTTCCTTGTGCCAATTGACATAAGACTGGCTCGTGACTCATGGCTGATGTCTCAGATCTGATCATCATGACGATCTCTATCTCTACGGCTGCGCCCAGAAGTACTGCGTGCAGCAAAACTACTACTCGAAAGCTTTATTTCATAACGCTTGTGTTTTCTCGGTTTCAGGCCATGGGCTTTCGTGGTATCCTTTGGGCTCAATGCAGGTTTGGGAATTGAGTGGAAGGCCATCTCCATACGAGGAGCCACTGTTATCGGCAGACTCGGCAAGAGTATGAGCGATTGGCCTCAGATCCTCTGGTTTTTCTTCCGGTGAAGCTCGGCAACTGTGACCTTAGGCCCGGGTGAAGTGCCTCCTCTTCGGGAAGACGATGCCAGGAGTGAGGGCTGGATTGGAGGCCGCCAGAGGGTCAAAGCTTTTCCAGACATGTTTTATTCCGGAGACTCAGACCCGAAAGAAGAAGCCGCCCTGTAGCGACAAGCATAGAAGAGGGCCTGGACTTGTGTCAATGCTGCTCGGGTATGCTTTCTTGCAGCCCAAGCCTCTCGACTCCAAAGTCTTAAGTGGCTTTGAGCAGGCCCGTATCCGTACGCTCCAAGAGGCCTGCAACCAGGCGCAGCCTTCGCATCTTCGGAATTTGTGACAGATTGGTAGCAACCAGCGACTGTTCTTCACACACAGTCAAATGGCAGAAGTAATCGCTGTGACGAACCAGAGAGGCGTTTGTGTAGATCTAGAAGAACAAGAGGCACAAGGTGCGGATGCAAGCATACTGCAGCATGCGAGATTAATGATATGAAGCGAAGATATGAAAACACAAGGGCTGACAGCTGATAGCACACGCTTCACACTACATGGCAATTGCAGCAACTTGGCTTATCCAGCAACAGTGATGATGATTATTATGACGAGGATGGCGAAGGTGAAGAGAAGATGAGCGGGATGAGGATGAGTTTGAGGG